ACATATACCTATAGATACGCACAGTACGTCCACACACATGTATGTCTGTGTGTACCACATCACACACACAATGATCACCATAATCACCACGAGTTCTTAATGAGCTCATAGTTCAGGAGAGAAAACACATAATTAAACACAATTCCTGCCCAGGCGCAGTGGCTCGGGCCTGTAATCACAGCACTCGGGGAGGCTGAGGCAGGTGGATTGCCTGAGCTCACAGCTTCGAGACCAGCCTGCACAAGAGCAAGACCCCATCTCTACAAATAGTTGGTCATTGTGGCAGGCACCTCGTAGCTACATGGGAGGCTGAGGGAAAAGAATCACTTAAGCCCAAGAGTTTGAGGTTGCTGTGAGCTACGACGCCATAGCACTCTAACGAGGGTGACAAAGAGAGACTCTGTCTTAAAAAAAAAAAGAGTTAATTAAGTCAAAGCAAGGCCATTAGGATCGGCTCTAATCCAACATGGCTGGTGTCTTTCTAAGAAGAGGGAATTTGGATGCAGACGGGGTGTGGACAGTTGGATACACAGAGAGACGACTGCGTGAGGACACAGAAAGAGGACAGCCCTCTGCAAGCGGAGGACAGGGGCTCAGCATGAAGCCAACTCTGCCACACTGTGATTTTGGACTTCTTGACTCCAGAACTGGGAGGAAATAAATCTCTGTTGCTCAAGCCACCAGACCGGTGTGCTTGTTCCAGCAGCCGTGTGGAGGCAAAGTGAGGGCCTATCGGAGAGGAAGCATCTGAGGCCCGGGGGAAGGAGGCTCCAGGAGCCCCCGCCTGGCTGGGTCCTGGGAGGCCGCTCCTGCAGTCCGCCTTATTGTCTCTTCTAGGTGAAGGGGGTTTGTTTCCTGTGTGAATAACACAGCTGTGGATTTGGGGTGGGAGCATTCAAAAATCTTATGCGGGAAAGCAGTGGGCCTGTGAGGGTGGGCTGGGGCCTGAGTGTGGTCAACTCTGGCTGCCTGCCCACTGGCCAGCACACCTGCCTGTACCTCGAGCTCCCTCTTGCAGGCTCCAGACCCCTGGGCTCAGGTGGGATTGCTGCTGCCTGTCTCCCCAGGCCCTGAGTCCAGGTGAGGCTATATGACCCGGGTCTGGCCAGAGAGTGTGGTGGCAGGGCTTTGTCTGGAATTATCAGGAGTGGGATGTTCTCTTTCTTCTGGAATTGCTGAATTTATAGAATAAGCTGGGAACTGCTGGTTATCTGAGTTCAGTTTATTCACTGGGAGTGCATGGAACACAGACCAAGGCAGAGACGAAAACAGGAAAAAGGGAGGTGGCCCAGAGAACACTGTTCAAGGCCCTGGATCTGGTTGCATCTGAAGCCAGAATCACTTCTGAAACTTTTTGAGTGAGTCAGAAAACTCCCTTAAACACATACTCTGCCACCCCTCAAGCTAGGTACCCAGAGTTCTGAGCTAGGTACCCAGAGCCTCATCTAACATCGTGTGAAAAAATCTTCCCAGCACCCTGATTTGTGGTGCCATAAAGCAGAGGTGAGAAGTTGCTCAGAGGTGCTCGGCAACCTTTTTGGGGGTGATGAAAATGTTCTATTTGAGGGGCTGGAAAAATTCTGTGTATCAATGTGGTGATGACATGGACACACTTGTCAAAGACCATTGAACTGTACGTGCAATAGGTACATTTTATTACATTTAAATTAGGTCTCAATTAATTTACAAGACTTTTTTTTTTAATCTGCCCGAGTAGGTGATCCTTCTCTTGAATTGCCAGGAAATTTGGCGCTGGCGCTCTGACTCACAGAAGCGAGTTTTCCATGAGTTTTGCTCTTGTGAACTGTGCCCTGTTGTTTTCAAGTTCTCCAACTCTCAAGTTCCTCCTGGCTTAAGATATATTTTTGCACTCATGCTCAGTGGTTTTGATTTGGGAAGATCTCTGCAGGACGTTTGCCTAGCTTCCTGGCCTTGTCACCGATGTGTCGAAGGCACGTGTCCCTGGGCCTGGCCTTCTCCAGGTATGGTGAGACAGTGGACCGAGAGGGGTCACACATCTGTGCGCCACCTTCTGGAGCAGCCCAGGGCTCTAGGATGGAGGAATCATCATGGCTGAGGACTCTGCACCAAGTTGTGCAGATACGGAAAGCTCTTGGGCTTAAAAGTGCTGGCATAAAATACAAAACCCAACTTATCTGAAAACCGCTGTTGGCAGGGATCTGGGAACTGGGCCGCTGCCAGAGAAGCATTCCATTTCCTTTTGCGAAGATGGAAGATGGAGCCAGCAGAGGCATCGGCGGCGTTCAGGCTGTTTGCTGTGCCCAGTTCCCGTCTCACTCTGTACCAGACACTAGCAGCCTGAAACCCTCCATTTCCTTCCCTGGTCTCGCTAGACTGTGGAAACCAACTAGGCCTGTCTGGGTTGTCCTAGGGCTGTGACGGGCATGTCCCGTCCACATGATGAACTTCCGCAGAATCCCAACTCTCTGCTGATGGGGGATGCAAAGGTCAAAGGCCTGAGCTCCCTGGGCCTCTGTGGGGAGCCTTTGGGTGGGGATATGGGCTACCGCCAGGGCTGTCCACTCAATGCGACTGAGCTTGGATGAGAAGCACCATTTGTGAGCCCCTACTTCCACATCTGGTGCTGACAACCTGTACCACGTAGCTCTGTCCCAAAGTGAACAGGGTATGCACGGGGGTTTCTGGCCCAGAACCCACTGCAGGGACAGGTACCCAGCACCCAGCAGTCTCCATGTTGGTCACCAGTTCTTGGTTCTGGTCATCCATGTGCATGTCCCTCCATTAGTGGCCACCTTGCTGCCTGCCCTGGATGCCCGAGTAGGGCACTCAGGTGTGCTGGCTGCTGCCTTGGGTGTTTTCGGGCACTCAGGGGTGCTGGCTGCTGCCTTGGGTGTTTATACCAAATCCCTGAAATCTGTGCTGTAACAGCTGAGGAAACCAAGGCACAGCTGAGGCCCCATGACTTGAGTGGCAGCCCCTCTGCCTTCCCAGGCTTGCTTTTGACTTTCTAAATTTGGCCTTGTTTATCCCTTGTATAATCTAAAAGAGCACACATCTCCACTTGCTTATTTTTGTAGAGGTAGTGAGTGGCAGGAAGTATGGAAATGCATAGACTTCTGCCTTCCCCGTGGCCACCCCTCCCCACCCCAGTGGCCCTTAACCCCTCACCCTACCCCTCCTGCATGCCACGTGGCGGTGGAAAGTTGGCTCAGCAGTGCCTGGAGCAGTCTGGAAGCTCCTTAATAGGCAGGATAATCCCCACTCCCCACTCTGTTCCGTGCCTGCCACATGCCTCTGGCCCGGAGCTGCAAGATGGAAATCTGGGGCGCTGGGGGCCTCAGCTTCCCACCTACACCAAGCACCAGAAAAAAGGCAGCTTGGAGTATCACTGAAGAACCCAGCCGTGCGGCTGTGGAGATGGATGCCTGTCCCTTTAGCCCCTGCCCCCCTCCCCCAGCCCACTTTATTTTTATTTATTTATTTATTTAGACAGAGTCTCACCTGGTCATTCTTGGTAGACTGCTGTGGCATCATAGCTCACAGCAACCTCAAACTCTTGGGCTTAAGCAATTCTCATGCCTCAGCCTCTGGAGTAGCCAGGACTACAGGTGCCCACCACAATGCCTAGCTATTTTTTTTAGGGACAAGGTCTTGCTCTAGTTCAGGCTGGTCTTGAGCCTGTTAGTTCAGGCAGTCTACCTGCCTCAGCCTTGCAGAGTGCTAGGATTACAGGAGTGAGCCACCCCTTCCCCCAGCCCACCTTAATAATGAAATACCAGGGGAGAGGGAGGGAACAGTGGGGCCTGCGGCTCCTGCTCATTTAGGCCTCTGTGAGCACAGACTGGGAGGGGGCTTAGGGCAGCACAGGGTCTTCCTGGGGGCTGGAGCTGGCACAGAGCGGAAGAAGGCTCACTCCCAGCATGACTATAGTTATCTATGCTTGAGAAGGGTCCAGAGGCTGGGAGAGGACCTGACTCTGGGGCTCCTTCTGCCCCTCCAGTCTCAGCATCCCTAAAGGCAGGTGCCTCTTCCTAGAGTCAGACCCAGCTGTTCCTGCCCCTCAGGACTCAGGCTCTGAGCCACTGTAGCTGGATATAGGCAAAGAGGCCCTTCCTTCTGGTGGGGGTAGCTCCCCAGAGTGTGTTCAGACCTGGAAGTCTGGGGCAGGGTCTCCTAGAGATCCAGGACCCAGGATGGCCCCTCGGACCCCCTTCAGGATTAAGGGGGGTATTTCCACCCATGTGGAGGCTGAGCCTGAGTAGTTGATGCTGGTGGAAGCTGTCACCCTTGGACATGGTCCCGGTCCTGCCCCTTATGTCAGCCCCCAGCCCCTCCTGGTCTCTCTTGAGTCCCCAGGAATGAGCTATCAGGTGTGATGGTTTTCACTCTGCCCTTCTGGAATCCTCAGACCATCGCTGGGAAGGGCCAGGGGCCACACTTGACCTTTGTTACCTGGAGGTCCTAGAACCACTGTCTGCAGACCAGATGAGGTCTCCTCCTTTGGTAGGACAGTGGCCTCACTGGACCACTGTCTAGTGGACCACTTGGGACTGTCAGAAAAGGGAACTCAGAGGGGCAGTGGCCTACAGTGGACAGGAGCAAGTTAGGTTGGCCGAGCAGAGGGCTGTCAGGGACATAGACTTGTGGGCCGGCCCACCCGAGTAAGGCCAAGCAAGCTAGAGGCCTGTGGGTAGAAGACCAGATGCCATGCAGTCACCAGCAGCTGGCAGGGAGCAGGTGAAAGCTGGGTCCCAGGGACAGCAAGACCCGGGTGTAGGGAAAGGGCATTGGTAGAAGCTGGCAGAGGACAGCCTAGCTGACCAGGGCTTGCTCTAGCTAAGAAGTAGATAGGCCACCAGGAGAGGGGGACAGACCCAGCCAGAGGAGATAGTCAGAGCACCGGAGGGGAGGAGCAGAGTGCCTGGGGGAATGGTGTGCAGGGCTGCCGTCCTGGGGCCCTCTCACAGTGGGAATCTGAGACCCCGGTAGGATGGCAGCACTGAGCCTTCCTCAGTTATAAAATGTTTATTGGTATACATTTCTTTGTCTTTTATAAAACTTCCTTTGGCTATATGCGACCACTGTGCTTGCAGGTGGGCATCACTGTGCCTGTCTCTGGGTGGCCAGGGCAGAGCCAGAGTCCACTTTCAGGTGGGAGCTGGAGCCAAGAGACTGTCCAGGGGCTGCCCAGGACTTGGCCAGCAGAGGGTCAGAAAAGGCAGGCACTTGCCCAAGGTGACCGAAGATCCTTTCTGTCTCCAGAGGCTTGCAAGGACCAGAAATTCCCCCATTAAAGTCACTAAATCACTTGTCAAAGGGGCAAGGATGCTGTCAAGCCCGCTTCCACTGATGCTGCCTCCAGGGAACGGAATTGGGAGAATAGCCCCCAATGGCAGGATGAGGCTGCTGGCCTGGTGGGGCTGGTGTTGGCTGGGTCATGTTCAATGTCATGACCAAAAGGGCAAAGGTGGACTGGGCTGGGTGACCACCTCTTCTCTTTCCCTGACCACCACTTGGGGGCAACTTCTTCCCAAGGAAGTTGGGTCATTTAGTAGCAGATTGGCTGTGGGAGCCAGGTGGGGACCACAGGGTCTGTTTGAAAGGGTCTGCTCAGTCCCTCAGCCACTCCAGAACCCTCCAGCCCAGGGAGAAGGAGGAGCAAGGGACTAGAAACAGACCTTTCTCCTCCGGTGTGAGCAGTGAGGCAGCTGCTCATTCCTGTCCCCACCCGAGGTGGCGAAGGTCTCTGGAGGTCACCGGCTGCTCCCTGCCCAGGGCTGGCCTTTCAGGAGGCGTTCCCAGGGGAGCACTGCATCTCCATGGTGACTGTGTTGGGTGTGCCGCCCCCAGCCTCTCCCAGCTCAGCGCCGTCCCGCAGGGCCCGCTGGAAGACCACCCTGAGCGGCTCCCACAGCCGCTGGGACTTGTCCCTCCCAGCCAGGAAGTAGACGACGGGCTTGGCGCTGCTATTGATGCAGATGCACAGGTCGGTGACATACTCTGGGAAGGGGGCGGGGATCTGGAAGACCCAGAAGAGGAACCAGTCAATCCCTAGGTAGATGGAGGACACAAGGAAAACAGAGACCATGGCTAGGATGACGTGGTTGAGCTTGGCAGACCGCTGGCGCCTCCGGGCTCGGCACTCCACATGCACGATGAGGGCCAGGCAGGGCAGCACCATGAGCGGGCAGAAGATGAGGAAGAGGAGGATGCCCAGGAAGATGTCCATGTGCCTGCAGGCCGGCCGGGAGGCCTCTCGACCGAGGAACACACAGAAGTAATTGTGGATGCTGGTGACCAGGAGGGACAGGATCCAGAGCAGGGCGCACACCACAGCCGACAGGCGCTTGGGCCGCCGGCGCCAGTACCAGGCTGGAAAGATGACGGACGTGCAGCGCTCCGTGCTGATGGCTGGCAGCAGGCTCACGCTGGTGATGAACATGCAGAGCCCCAGGATCCGGGCCACGCTGCGGATGTAGTCGGCAAACGAGCCCAGGAAGCCCCCCGTGTTCAGGATGGAGAACACGGCCTTGCTGAAGAGGTAGCCCACATCGGCGCTGGCCAAGTGTAGGAAATAGATGGAGAAGGGGTTCCTCTTGATGGAGAAACCAAAAAACCAGAGGACCAGCCCGTTGCCCACCAGGCCACACAGGCAGAGAAGCAGGAAGATGTAGTTCATGACGGCTGGCGGTGGCAGCATCGTGATCTGCTCGATGGTCAGGAAGCCTCGGCTGTAGAGCTCTGGGGCCTCACTCATGCCGGGACACATCTGTGCAGGTGCAGAGGGGAGAGAGCTGGTGATGCTGCTGCCCTGCTGCGGACCTCCACCTGGGGCCTGGCATGGGGGTCCTGATTGGAGACTTAGGGGGTGTCTGTTGGGTCACTGACTGTGGAACAACTAACTGGCTGCAACCCAAACAGAAAACACCCCTGACCCACTACAGGCTACCTCTCTGTGTCCCAGAGCCTAGAGCTGGCAGCACAGACAGCAGCGCTGCAAGCGAAGGAAATGACAGCAGATTCTGTCCAAAAATGTCCATATCTCGCAAGGCAAAAAACCCTGAGGGGCTTTTCCAGATTGAGCGACATCACTAACAAATGCAGTGTTAGTGTGATCCTACAGCATACATACCGTATATATACTGGATCTAAATGGCTGTGATGGGACAACTGGGAAAACGTGAACATGGACCATGTGTAGGTAGATAAAGGCAGCTATCACTGTTAACTTTTCTGAATATGAAAATGTGTGTGGCTCTGTACAAAGTGCCTGTGTTCCCAGAAGATATAGGCTATTTGGGGGCAAAGGACATGGTGTCTGTAATTCACTTTCAAATAGTTCTGGGGAGAAAGTCTACTGATCACGTGGTGCAGAGCGCGCAGGCGATGAAGAGTGAAAGACAAACGAATCAGGACTGGGCATGCTCAGGTGTGCAGCGCACTGTTCCAGCACATGCTTGGATACTTGGAATGTTTCAAAGCAAAATATGAAAATATTTATTTAAAGAAGTAAAATTGGCCTGGCATGGTGGTTCATGCCTGAAATCCTAGCACTTTGGGAGGCTGAGATGGGAGGATCACTTGAGCCCAAGAGACCAGCCTGAGGAACATAGCCAGACCCTTTCTCTACAAAAAAGTTTAAAAATGGCTGGGTATGGTGTATGGTGGTATGGGCCTGTCGTTCAGCTACTGGGGAGACTGAGGCAAGGAGATACCTGGGCCCAGGGGTTTGAGGCTGCAGTGAGCTATTATGATGCCACTGCACTCCAGCCTGGGTGACAGAGGGAGATGCTGCCTCAAATAGGTGAGTAAATAATCATTTGTAAGTTAAAAAAAAGGGGGGGGGGAACCCTGACCATAGCTTGAGCAGGACCCTGTCCCATCACGGGCTCAGAGGCGGCTCCTTGCTAAGCCAGCATCACCCTCTGGGCTTCTGGATTATGGTAGAGTTCAGGGGGTCCCCAGGGAGAGGGAGAGGCAGTAGCTATTTAACAAGCTGTAGGGAAGTGTTACAGTGTCTTCAGGATTAGTCTGAGGTCAGTCCTGCCCCCAGGGTCTAGGCTGGCATGGAAATACACAGAGGAGGGCCAGGGGCAAGAAACTGGTGAGACCCGGTGAAGTGGCGAAATGGGCAGCCTGCTCTGCTCCAGCTGCGGGGCTTGAGGGACTGAGCTTCTTATTCTCTCTCCCTCGAGAAGCCAGAACTCTAGATTGCAACGTGAAATATCTCCATCTTTAAATGTTAACATTTAAAAACCACTGTGCAGGCCAAGCACAGCCCATCCACAGCTGGATTCAGTTCTCAGGCGGTGTACTTAGCTTCTCCTTCCCGAGGCAAAGGTTGCCTGCTCAGGTTCTCCCCCTACCCTCCCAGCACCCCGGCAGATGTGCTGGTCCACCCAGGACTCTCCCCTAAGGCTCTACAACAAAACAAAGGAGAAGGTTCTCAAGACAGGATCTGCTCTGCCACCCTCCAGACGACTCCCAGCTCTGGCTGAAAGCTGGGTCCTGAGGTTGCTTTCTGGGCTTGACACTGCATCACAAAGGGACCTTCTGGCCTGGCTCAGGTCAAGGGCATGCTGTAAACAAGGACTGGAGGTGTTGGCAAAGCTTTGGGGTGACTCACTGAGGTCAGGGCAAGCACTAAGGCACTGCCTATCACCCTCTAGATACACTTAGCAGCCCAGCATCTGTCTACCTCTCCTCCCCTCCCCCCCCTTAGCTTATGCTTTCCTTTCCTATGGGTGACTTGGTTACTCCAGGTCTTGGGTGCTCCTCTCAGCTAGGGAACCAGACCTAGGAATTTGTAAGACTCAGTGCCCAAACAGGCCCAAGAATGACCAGCTCGGACGCTGGGATGGAACTGGGCCTCAGGGGCTGGACAGAGCGGGGTCAGATCACTCAGTGACTCTTGCATGCTGGAAAAAGTCTGCAATCCCCTCTTGGAGTCAGAGGGGGAGGGTGGGTGAGTCACTGGGCATGCAGCTGCCATTACCAGCCACATCCATACTCCCTTGTAAAATGCCTGCTCTGGAGCCTGCCCCTCCCTGAGCTCTGCCTTTGCTCCGGGATTTCTGGAGCCTCCCCACGACCAGTCTGATCTCTGCTTTCCTTAACAGCCATTTCACAGCAGTTACTGTGAGGAGCAAGTGAGTGCCCAAGGGCATGGGGGACAAGGATCCTAGGGTCTGGGCAGAAGTCTCTGCTCTGCCCCTGACCTATGAGCTGACCCCAGGCAAGTTACTACCCTGGTATAAGCCTCAGTCTCCTCAAACACAAAAGTTGGACTTGGAAATTAAAGGGAGCCTTTCAACTTGAGAGGGCCCTGTCCGGGATTCAGAAGGAAATTCCAGACTTTTCCACTTTTCCAGGGGCTCAGAGAAGTAGGGGACTCATAGAGAGAGGATGGAAGGAGGTGGGTCAGCTGGAGGGGTTGCCAGAGTCTCAGGGCTGGAGCCTGGAGATGGGAAGTAAACCTATGACTAATGGGTCCCAGGCAGGGCGACCAATTCTGGCAGGTGGCCCAGAGCAGCCAGGCTCCAAGGAGCTCACAGCATCTGGGCCACCTGGGCATCCTGGGGCTTCCTGGCAGGGCCTGGCCACAGTGAACAGCTGACTAATTCTCTCCTACAGGGAAGAAATGAGATGAGAACTTGCAAGGCTGGTAGAGACGACCCCAAAGCAGGGTGCAGTGTCTCATGCCTGAAATCCTAGCGCTCTAGGAGGCTGAGGCAGGTGGATCACCTGAGCTCACGGGTTCGAGATCAGCTTGACCAAGAACAAGACCTCGTCTCTAAAAATATCTGGGCATTGTGGTGGCTATCATTGTAGTCCCAGCTACTCAGGAGGCTGAGGAAGAGAATCACTTGAGTTTGAGGATGCTGTGAGCTATGACACCAGAGCATCCTGCTGAGAGCGACAAAGTGAGACTCTGTCTCAAAACCCCCCCCAAAACAAAAAAACCCATAAAAAATAAAAGATAACCCCAGGGTCAGCATGGCAAGGGACTTCAAGGGTATCTAAGAGCCCAGGTAACCAATGTCAGGCCACTTAGCCCAGAGTGGCCCACTGCGCACTGTAAGTCCAGAGCTAGAGGAGAGGGGGCCTGGGCGGGGTGGGGAGAGGAAATGCTGGGCTGGGCCTGCCCCTCCCACCCACATCCCTCAAGGGCAGATTGGGCCCCCAGCTACCTAGTGGCACTTGCCTTGTTCCTGTTAGTGGGATGAGCCTCCAAGGAGCAGTTTCCCGCCATCTCCAGGCCTGGCCAGTATGGACTCCTGCTGACAGCTCACCAGCCTGCTCACCAGCCTGCACACCCACCTGGCAAAAGCTGAGAGAGAGAGAGAGAGAGAGAGAGAGAGAGAGAGGGAGAGGAGACGAGGGCAGCAGGGTCCCACTGACAGCTGCTCTCCACCTCTCCATCTCCCAGAGCCCCATCCCCAGGGCTTTCCAGGCCTGCAGCTCGCCTTAGAGGCCCTCAGGGCCACGGTCTTTGTGAGACTGTTCAGTTGCAACTCAGGAGCAGGTCACTTCTTTGGGCACAGTCCCCTCCTGCCTGTGGTCCCCTCATTGGGACCCATGTTAACTCTCTGGAGCCCTACTGCCCCTCACTGGAAAAGAAGTCCTCTCCTTTCCCATTCTTGCTCAGTCTGCAAGATTTCTGGAGCCAGACTGCTTCTGGAGATACAAATTTACCTATGCTCATTTCCTAGGCACCTCCTTTGTGTCCAGCTGGTGAGGGACAAGGGTTCCTAGCAATCAGTCCCAGCAGGGGAGCAGGGCAGCAGCGATCCTGTCAGGGAGGACTTCCTGGAGGAGGAGGCCTCTGGCTGGGCCTGTGTTTATCATGTGGTAAGGTTTGTGTCTCTCCCTACAGGTGCCTGGGAGGCAGGACAGTGTGGTCAGCAGCATCACTGTCACCACCGCTAACCTAGGGTCAACAAATGCCAGCTGGGCTCTGTGCCAGGCTACACCATCATTGGTGTGGTCCTCATCACCAGCTGTGAGGCAGGCATTCCCATTCCCCTTCGGAAAGGGGTGCGAGGTTCCCTGTCCAGGGGCACACCCATACCTGCAAACAGGCTGCAGCTGTGCAGGCTTGTGTGTTGTCAAGACCAGAACAGCTGCAGAGAGAAGAAAAAGGCACGTCTGAGGGGCTGTCCAGGAGGGGCTCTGGCTCCCAGGTGGGGAAAGGGAACGCGGGCAGGGGGCGACCCAGCCAGACACTGGTCCACCCGCCTGGAACTGAATCCTTTTCCCCCAGACTGAGCTCTGCCCCCACAGGCAAGCACTTATTCCTCCCTGCAGTGCAGGCGGGGAAACTGAGGCGGTGAGTGGAGAGGGCCTTGCCGCAGGCTCCTGGGCCCCTCTCCTCCCTGGAGGGAGCGCTGGGCAACCTACTCGCCTCAACTCCCCCGAAATTCTTTCCTCTGCGCCAGCGCCGGGCGGTCCACCCCGCCAGCGCCGGGCGGTCCACCCCGCCACGCCACACCATGCACACCCACCCGCCACCTCCTCCTCCCGCCCAGGGGCGGTGTGCGGTCGTGCCGCCGCACCCGCCATTGACTGAAAAGGGTGCCTGTCCGCTCAGGTGGCCCGCCCCCTCTTTAACCCTTAATCTCCCAGAGGTAGTCGCTCCAGGGCATCTCTGAGGGGGACGCTCCCAGACTCTCGCCCACTTGGCCACCTTGCTCCCTTGGGCCTTTGGGACCTGCGCAACTGCCTCTAGTTGGGCCACTAGGCTTGCCCGTGCTGTCCCGCTGTCTTGTACTTGCAACCCCAGACCTACCAGCCTATCCTCATCCTTCCTGGCCCTGGGCACCCACTATTGGTGGCCCCTCCAGACACCCACCACCCCCTAGATCTGGGTGGCCTCCAGGATATCCTGACTCAGGATAACCTTACCCTCTCACCCCGGCTGACCAGGGTTGACCCCAGCTGGCCAACTGGTGCCCCAAGAGCTGTGGAGGGGTCTCCTGGCTGCAGGTGGGCAAGGGGTCCAGGAGCTCCCAGTTCACCATTCTCACTTGGTCATTGTGGAGTGTCCCTGCCTGTAATATTACTCATGCATAGAGAGCTCTAGAAGCCAAGTGGACCCCAGATGAGCCATATTAAAGAACATGTGTGTAACATGTGTGTGGGATGTGTGAGTGCCTGTGTTCTTCTGGGTGGGATCTGGGCTGGGACAGAACTAGTTTCCACTAAAGCTGACCCCAGCTCAGCTCATGGCTGATGTCCCCCCACAAGCACCCTGGGATGGCCAGGCCAACTGTCTGTCTCCCAGCCTGCCCTCATAAAGCCCCTCCTCTTTCACTCCACCCCATGACCCAGTCCCTCTCCTCTGTCCTGGCCACTGCCTGGGCTGGGCCTACAGGCACTGGCCATCAGAGGGGTCTGTCGCCTTCCTGATGCAGAGCCTGATAGAGCCTGTGTTTCCTCATTCTGGCACTGGGGAACTGAGGCCTGGGAGAAGGTAAGACTGCAGCTGCCCACCCTCTAGTGACTGACCCTTCAGTGCCCTCCCCCTCCTCCCCCCACTGTGGACCTGCCCCTCAGCTGTCCCCAGCTGGGGCTCAGCACTCAGGGAAGTCTGTGTGTGCTGTCTCCCTGAGCTTGGGACACTGCCCGCTGGGTGTTCCCCTTTGGTCCTTCCACAAAGCATGCTTGGACAGCCAGCCAGGCTGGGGGAAGGGCGGAGGGGGAGCCCCCACCCCCAGGAAGAAAGAGTAGGGGCTGGAAGTGGAGAATGGCTTGGGCCAGGGTTGAGGCCAGTTGGGTGTCAGGACCTGCCACAGGAAGGGGGCTCTCCAAGTTCCCTCATGTCTCTGGAAGCCCTGGAGCCTCCGGAGTGGTGGAGGAAGTCCTTCTCTGGGTGACAGCAGCTCCAGGGGCTCAGGGCTCCCTCCTGGAACCTTGGAATTTCTGGGAGCTGCCAGCCCTGATGGTGTCCACTTCATTTTCCTTTCCTTCCTGGCCCTCACCCTGCAGCCCCGCTTCCCAGAACACCCACCCAGGCCCCTTGGGCCCCTCGGAGCTACCTGCTGCTGTCCTGATCCGCTGAGTCTCTCCTCTGTGGAGGGCTACTCCAGTAGCTCCTGCCTCCAGCCGACCCACCAGGGCAGCAAGCCAGCGTTGAGCACTGCCTGGAGCCTCGGAAAATGCGAGCTCAGAGTGGAGGACGAGCCCTCGCCTGCTGGAGGAGATGGCTTTGGAAGCAGAATCCGCCCCAAACCCAATTCCAGGCCCGGCAGGAGGGGGTGGGGAGAGAAGGAGGAGGCGCTGAGCAGGGATGAGGCTTCGGGAAGGAATGCCCCGCTCTGCTGGAGCCCCCCCAGAGCCCCACTGGGAACTCATCTCTCTGCCTGGTGACGTCAGGCTGGCCCGAGCACTGCAGCCCGAGTCCAGCTGTTAATCTCCCCCGAATTCTGCTGCTAGGCCAGGCTGCCCAGGAGAGGGAGCACTGGGCTGTGCACTTGCCTGGCACTTTTGTTCTGCTCCCCGTATGCATTTGCTGGCAGGCTGGCTGGTCCCCACCCCATTGTTTCAATTACTGAGAGGGGTTGATGCAGGGAAGTCGGGGCAGCGGCAGTGGGGTGAGGGATCCTTGCAGGGGTGGTGCAGAATTGGCTGAAAGGCAGGCGACACCACCCAGGAGGCACCCCACTCTCCCTCCCACCTGGAATCTGTCGAGGGCCCCCAAGGGCTTTTGGAGCCAGGAATTCCCTTTTCCCAACCCTAATAGTAATCAGATGGCGCAAGTGGAAAATCACAACGCTCAGTGCACGGAGAAATCAGCAGCTATGTTGCTGGTGTGAGCGCGGCTCGGTGGAGATGAGTCAGGCCCCCACCCACCTCGAGCCCTAGGAGTCCTGGAACGGGTTAGTGCCCAGGGCACCCGGCCCAAGGCTGTGAGGGTTGGACCCAATGGGGTGGCTGTGAGGACAGTGTGGGGTGGCCCTCTCCTGCCCTGGGCCAACTTTCTCACGGTCCAGGAAGCCCAATGGAATTCTGAGCTTTCCCTGCAGGAACAAACGGTACCCAGACTGGGGGAGGTGTGCCTCCGTAGGCACCCTCAAGAGACCCCCTGCCCCGCCCCTGAGAGCTCTACGCCTCCTCCTCGTCCAGCCCAAGTGTAAACCTTGGCAGGAGGGAGTCTCAGATCATTCCCTGTACAACCCAGCCCAGCTGCCTCCTGGGGTCTTTTTTCCGGGGAGGTCAGAGGGTTCTGAGATGCTGGAGGCTCATGGGCCACACCCGAGGCTGAGAGGGAGGCTGGCAGGCAGCAGGCAGCAGGCAGGGTGATGACCCGTCCCCTCCTCTCCCAGGGCAGCCAGCTGGGGCCCAGCTGGGCTGCTTGTTTACATGGGAGGCCGGGGGAGGCCGAATACAGACAAGTTCCAAGTGTAATTGCGTTTGGACACTTAAAAGGAATTGTGCGAAGTGGGCAGAGGCTCTGAGGTCCACCGCCTTATTTGGTATGGAAATTTGTTTCTCTCAAAATAAGTGAGAGGTGCTTGTGTTTGGGAAGCTCGCTCTCTGCCTGAGTTTGTGGAGTCCCACTGCTGATGTCTTGGTCTGTTGGGGCTGCTGTAACACAACAGCACAGACTGGGGGCCTCTAAACGACATTCTCACTGTCCTGGAGGCTGGAAGTCCAGGATCAAGGCACCGACAGATCTAGTGTCTGGTGAGGACCTGATTCTTGGTTCAGAGACAGCTGTCTTCTTGCTGTGTTCTCACAGGGTGGAAGGGGCAGGGAGCTGCATGGGGCCCCTTTTATAAAGGACACTAATCCCATTCAGGAGAACGCCACCCTTATGACCTAATCACCTCCCAAAGGACCCACCTCTCACACACCAGGGATTAGGTTTGTAAATATGCATTCCCAGGTCAGTGCACAAATATTCAGTCCGCAGCAGCCATCCTGGTCCTCACAGAGGGGTGGGCTGGGCTGGGGGATGGGCCAGAGGCTGAGCTTCCAAAGGCACAGTTAGAAAGAATGACAGTGGTTGCCTCCAATCTTGGGTGAAATTCGGGTAATTTAGTTTCCCACCTTCAGCCTTGATTTTCTCATCTGTCAAGTTTGAAAATATAATGACTCATGTTGGGCATGGTGGCTCATGCCTGTAATATCAGCACTTGTTTTTGTTTTGTTTTGTTTAGCAGGCCCTGACCAGGTTTGAACCCTCCACCCCCTGTGCACAGGGCTGGCGCTCTAACCTCTGAGCTATAGGTGCACAGCCCTTTTTTTTTT